GCGTCTACTAGTGTTGCAAAATATTGTTTTGCGTTCAATGTAGTACATCGCCCATCCACTATGTCTTCGCCTATGTGCAGATGGCTATTATAATAAAGAAAAAGCAGTAGAGGAGCTTACTGAAGGGATTGCGAAAGGAATGCCACAAAAGATGTGTTCGATAATAGAATTGCGCAAATGATCATCCCATTTTAGATGTTTGGGATCTAAGTAGCAAGGTTATATACAGTGTTATAGCGACCACAGTGCCATCTGGGGAACTGCAAAGTGTCTCTGGTGAATTAGGGTAAGTTAGGTTATCTGGGAGGTGAGACAGACACTAATGTATGTTTTGTCAAGCATCAAGGCACGATGGTGATATGGCTGCCCCTGAGTATCATTTCTTTGCACAGGCATTAAGGTTAGCCACAAGGCATTAGTAAAAAAACAACATGTTCTGGTGAGTTTTTCCGCCAAAACCGCATGAAGGCAGCTAGATTAGTTACACTTGTTTGAGTATTTGGCGGTGTAGCATCAGCGTTAGGCTCTTGAAGTTAGCCAGGGTAAACAGTTAAAGCAAGAGCATAATCTAACCTTACTATAATAGCCATCTCTTACCGCACAAATCCAAGGTTGAAATGTCTGCTCTAAATAAACTGTCACGACTACCCATGCATGGGGACTGTAGGTGAATGTAACACATGTGTTATCTCAGGGGGACAACTATTGCACACTTAATAAGTGTGTGGTCTCAGGGGACAAGTAGTTACACATGTACATGTCCTAACGATGACTAGAATACTACATCACGGATGTGCACATCAGGTGTAGCACACAGTTGGGCTGGCCGAAACACAAATCCAGTCACACATTAGTGTCACTTTGACTCATACTGGGGGAGGTATTTCAAGGTATTCTTGTGTTTTGCTTCAACTTAGTGTGGCCTGCCCCTTTTAGGGTTAGGGTTGGTAATAATAAGATTCCTTTGTCTAGTAGTTACTAAATATGTGATTATCTCTCCTGGAGACACACCACGCTGCCTAGTGTGCATGCATGTTGATGAGAATTACACCCAGACGTTGAAAAGGCCAGTGGATTCCTTCCGCATAATATTGAGCTCATACTACCGTAGATCGGCCAGGACGACTCTTCCCCATGCATCAATACACATACACACTTTGTATGCACATTTCTAACTTCTAAGTAGGCTATAGGCCAAGTTTGCAGGCCTTTTGTACGCGGATCATTTGAGAATTCACCTGCTCCATCCCTATACAAAGGGGCATGTTACTAACACTCTGATACTGCATTACTAATGAATGCAAGGAGATTATTTTTCTGACTGACAAAACTAGATTGTAAAGCGCTGTAGAAGCAACAAGTTACAATATCGGAAAGGAATTATTGGATTTAATAAACTACTGTAGTGTAAGCTACTACAGTATATGAAGCACATCAAGTGTTAAATAATACAACAGGTATATATTGTACAGTGAAAACCACACTTCTGTGCTTAAGAAAACAGACGTAGCATAGAGTCTTAAGTTTGTTTTCAGTCCAGCCGAACATAAAAAATCAGGTGCAGGCACGATCTACAATAAATACCACTGTGTAAAGCAATACCTTTTGACGGTGGCGACTCCAGCACAATAGTAGCAGCAGTGCTGACAATACAGACATGGAGTGTCACGTGGAGGTGGCCTCGTGAAGTCGTGGAGGTCGTTCGTCTCGTGGAACCTCGAAAGAAAATTCACAATGAGCTGGATTGCAGCTAGCTAAAGTACACACAATAGTAACTCCTTACCACAAGACGGATAGCTAGGCCCAAATTCGGGAGCAAACCCAGGCGAGCGAAAAACTTGCGACCAAACGGAGCGCACGGCGAGGATCACGTGGTCCGCTCTAGTGCCCCTGCCTGGCGCATGCGTACGGCTCATTGATGCTGAGTTAGCAGCAAATGGCGTTGTTCAGTGTCGACCATGGAAGAGCTCCATGATCTACCGTAGTGACTAGTGACAAGAAAGAAACGATCGCTTGATGTCCGTGCACACCTCCGGCGAAATTGGAGGCGTTCGGTGAAAAAATGAGTGCTTCAACTGGTATATACTGGTAAGGAGATAGCGAGCTCGAGTTTAAAGAAGAAGAAGAAGTCCTACATCCTTCTTTATCTCACAACCTCAACTGTGATTTGCAGTTTACCTATACCAAAAATGAGTGCCTACACATTGTTGTATAGACAGAGCTAAAGAAACAAAGATGTAGGGATGGACGTTGTTTTCAGCTGAAGCTTCTTTCTTGTTGGTATCCCTTTTCATAATTTACGCCATCCCTTTATACACCCCCTTCATTTTAAATAAAAGATTTTTCCACTTGTTATCATACATGTTGCCAGTCAACTAAAAGTGGTTCTGAAGGGGTTACAATTATTGGCTTAGTCTCTGGTGTCAGAACTCAAGCATGAGCAACTCCCAGACACACCAGGATTTTTTTTCACATGTAGGGGAACCACACCCAAAATTGCACATGTAGCTCATAGTTATTGAACATAGTATACTGGCTGTCTTACAACACGGATTACACATGACAGTGGATGAGAAACAGACGAAAATTAAAGTGTTACAGCTATATACTTGTATGAAAAGCTTCAGTTCAAGCACTTCCAGTAAAGGTGAATATCATTTTGGCAGGAATTTTTAAGGTTCTGTAGATGTGGGTGTTGTGCCGTTTTCTAGTGTTATCGTCACATGATGGATTGAGTTTCATAAGGGTGCAAGTATATACGGCAGAGTAAAGACTGCACATCTGTCAGGACTACCTGGGGTAAAGCAAAGCAACCCTCGCTGCATACCACAGGAGCAGACAATAGTTGTTATACCTTCACAAAAATAATGGTACAAATTCTGTAAGAAGTTACTCTATAACAGCAGGAGGTAGCTACGAGCGATCTCCCTCTCCTACCTCAAACTATCAGGAGAGCAGTAAAATAATTATATGTGGAGTACTAAATTCCACCACTTTATAACTCACCTTCACTGATAATTATAAGGTCTTAGCAGAAAGAACCCCGGCAGTTTCCAGCAGTAGATATCGCCAGCTGATGAGAGAAAGTCTGCAATTAGTAAAGATAATAATAGCGTAGAATTTACTTGACGAGAAGGGGTTTTACAAGACAGTATAATTATAACTATAAAACTGACCGAAATTAACCAAGACAAATTTTATCTTGCAAACCTGTCTGAAAGACAATGAGTGATTGTTGGATCCAAGTACTCAGCTGAATGCATCAGGTGACCTTACCTTCTGCCGAAGACAAATTTGCTGTCCCAAAAGTTATTCAACTGAAAGACACATACACTTGAATGAATTATCACTGATGAAATGTAGCACTTACCAGATCCAACTGTATGTTAGGAAAACTTACTACTCATGGTGACGATCTTGTCTTCCCTAAAATAGTTAGCTATGTATGTACATATCGCATAAAACTGTACGCTAAGGTTGATGTTAGAATGTGTCTCACTCTAGTCTGGTAAAACTAAGCGATGTGTAACCATGTTCCATTGATGTTGATGGAATACCCTCTGAGAGTCTTCAAAATGATGGTGGAGGGGTTCAGTACAGTCTTAAGTCAATTGGGGGTTCAGGGGACAGAGCAGCAAGTTCATTCTAGTCAATTGGTGTGAGTTTTTTGTAGGATTAGTTCAAAGCAGCATTCTCATTCATGTTGATTTTAGCACAGCACTAGGCATGAGTAAGTTTCAGATTCAATGGACGTGAGGGTGTGATTGTTTTGGGATCAATTTTGCTGTTTGACGGGTATAGTTTTTCAGCAAGCAGATGAGAGTCAGTATTAAAGATTGTTTTGTTCTGAGGCAAGTGGAAGTGACCATTGCTCATCTTTTAATAGCAGGAGAGGAGGCTAATCATTCTGTAAAACAACTTGTTAATGGCTCTTTGTAAAGACAGGCAATATTGTCAATCCCTTTTGTGTGGATTTCAATAGTCGATTGGAAGTTTTGGAGGCTAGTTCTGGGTTTAGCAGTATTTCATACTCATGTTGATTTTGAGATCAGAGTTCAAAGTGGCAGTAACAAGCATAATCATTGTTTAGGAATGGCTTTGACAACTATTTTCAGCAAGTTAGTACACAAGATGTTTAGAGGCAAGTGAAAGTGATCCATGCTCATTGTTCATTGTTCATCACAAGGAGGAAGACATTACTTTGGGAAACGAAACATGATAAAATAAATTGCCAACTCCGATCATCGATTTACCATCCTTTTCATGGCAGGATTGATCAGTTTGCATTGTCTCTCTCTACAGTTGAGTTCAATAAACAGTCAATTGGGGGTTCAGGGGAGAAAACAGCCAATTCTTTGTAGCTACAGTTGGTATAATATGAGTTGTGAATCTAAGCTCATAATTAGGTTGGGAACAGAATAGCAATCGAAGTGCATAGTAACTTGTATAAAATGACTTGGTATTTGATGCTGTTTGACAACTATTTTTTGCAAGCAGATGATAGTCGGTATACAACAAGGAATTTCTTTGTTTTCGGGGCAAGTAGAATCGTTTCATGTTAGGGAGGCATAGGGTAAATTATGACTCTTTGTCAACAAGGGTAATCTCTATTTTTTTTAATGACTATTATTAAGGATTGATCAGTTTTGTGTGGTTTTTCTTGAGTTCATTACAGTTTTTAAAGTCCATTGTGGGTTTAGTGGAAGAGCAGGTAGCTACTTGTAGTCAATTGGTGTAGTAGTTCTGAGATAAAGCAGTATTGATGTCCATTTTGAGATCAGAGTTCAAAGTGGGCAATAACTTATTCTCAGGAAGTAACTATATAATTATACACAAGATTGGGTTCTTCGTTCAGAGAAAGTAATTATTATTCATTGTCCATTTGTTCATCAAAAGGAAGGAGGCTTATGAATGAAACGTGATGACTCATTTTCAACTCGATAATTGATTGTCCACTCTTTTCATGACAGGATTGATCAGCTTTGTGTGCTCTACAGTTAACAGTTCAATATCGTCAGAGCAGCTAGTTCTTTGTACAGTTGGTGTAGCAGTTGTGGATCAAAGAACAGACTTCAATACATAGCACACAGTCACTTGTATACTATTCTGCTTCAATGACTTGGTAGTTTGACAATTATTCTCTGCAAGAAGATGATGCACACACCATAGTAAGTACACAATGCCCAAGTAACTTTTCAGCTAGTTGATGTATGTAGCTTTGTTCAGTGACTATTTTCTTGAAGTAGCTTTGTTCAGCAATAACAGTTTCTTGTGAGATGTTATATGGTACACATTTGATAGCTACTGATGGTATTAATGTGAAAAATTGAACTTCATTCCAACATGTTCAACTGCTCACTCAAGGTCGTAATAATGTGTGTCATTTGTTCTAGTATGTCAAAAGAGGAAGTAAAAGTAACTTTGGAGGTATGTGATCTACCGTTGTTCAAGAAGTGATAAAACAGTTTGATGGCTGAATGCTTTTAGTACACATTTCCAGTTATTCAGAGCAATTTTCATTAAGTTGTTGCACGTTTTCCAAGAGACTGGAATTGTCTAGGAACATGAAGCTCAATACAATATTTCAATGGAAATTGTGTGGGAAAGGATTCTATTATTCTTTGTCCATTTGTTCATAAGAAGGAAGGATGACTCATTTTCAACTCCATTGATTGTCCATCCATTTCATGACAGGATTGATCAGTTTTGTGTGCTCTACAACAGTTCAATATCGTCAGGCAGCTAGTTCTTTGTACAGTTGGTGTAGCAGTTGTGGATCAAACAGACTTGAATACATAGCACACAGTCACTTGCATAATATTCTGCTTCAATGACTTGGTAGTTTGACAACTATTCTCTGCAAGAAGATGATATATGAAGATGATGCACACACCATAGTAAGTAAACAATGCCCAAGTAACTTTTCAGCTAGTTGATGTATGTAGCTTTGTTCAGTAACTATTTTCTTGAGGTAGGTTTGTTCAGCAATAAAGGAACATGAAGCTCAATACAATATTTCAATGGGAAATTGTGTGGGAAAGGATTTTATTATTCTTTGTTCATGAAACACAATGACTCATTTTCAACTCTATAATTGATTGTCCATCCTTTTCATGACAGGATTGATCAGTTTTTTGTGCTCTACAACAGTTCAATATCGTCAGAGCAGCTAGTTCTTCGTACAGTTGGTGTAGCAGTTGTGGATCAAACAACAGACTTCAATACATAGCACACAGTCACTTGTATAATAATTATTATTCTGCTTCAATGACTTGGTAGTTTGACAATTATTCTCTGCAAGAAGATGATATATGAAGATGATGCACATACCATAGTAAGTAAACAATGCCCAAGTAACTTTTCAGCTAGTTGATGTATGTAGCTTTCTTCAGTGACTATTTTCTTGAGGTGGCTTTGTTCAGCAATAACAGTTTCTTGTGAGATGTTATATGGTACACATTTGATAGCTACTGATGGTATTAATGTGAAAAATTGAACTTCATTCCAACATGTTCAACTGCTCACTCAAGGTCGTAATAATGTGTGTCATTTGTTCTAGTATGTCAAAAGAGGAAGTAAAAGTAACTTTGGAGGTATGTGATCTACCTTTGTTCAAGAAGTGATAAAACAGTTTGATGGCTGAATGCTTTTAGTACACATTTCCAGTTATTCAGAGCAATTTTCATTAAGTTGTTGTACGTTTTCCAAGAGACTGGAATCGTCTAGGAACATGAAGCTCAATACAATATTTCAATGGAAATTGTGTGGGAAAGGATTTTTTTAATTTTATGTCCATTTGTTCATAAGAAGGAAGGATGCTTATCAATGAAACACGATGACTCATTTTCAACTCCATAATTGATTGTCCATCCTTTTCATGACAGAATTGATCAGTTTTGTGTGCTCTACAGTTAACAGTTCAATATCGTCAGAGCAGCTAGTTCTTTGTACAGTTGGTGTAGCAGTTGTGGATCAAACAACAGACTTCAATACATAGCACACAGTCACTTGTATAATAATTATTATTCTGCTTCAAGGGAGGCTTGAAGTGAAGACGACTAATTGTTAACAAAGGTATAATCTCTTTTTATGATAGGTTTGTTCGGTTCTGTGTGGTTACTGTTCTTAGTTAGAGTTCAGCACAGTTTAAAGCCAATTGGGGGATGCAGGGGCAGAGTAGATGGTTCTTTGTAGTCAGTTGTTGTAGAAGTTATGGGATGAAGCACGTTGATATTGGGAAAAGAGTTGAATCCAACATAGTCACTTGTATGTGCCATTTCGATGACTTTGTATTGATTAATAATGCTGTTTGGCAACTAGATATTAACAGTTTCAAACAAACAGTTGATAGATTTGAGGCAAGTGTTGCTCGTCTTTCACTTGTTCATAGCCGGGTGGCTTATCATTTCTTGAAAAGAAAGGGATAAGATTTGAAATGGGTGTTTGTACAGTAGCTACTTGTCATTAAGGTTGTAGAGCGATAATCATCAAATTATGATAATCAGTGTATGACAAGGCAATTGCCTTCAGTTTGTTCTGAAATCCATAGGAGAGCAATGGAGGCATTTTTAACCTGATGAAAGAGAGAGCGATTTTTGTACAGTTCATGACTATGGACTAGGCAGTTTTGTGATAGTACAATTATCAGCAGCATAATCATAAAAGTCAGTTCCTTTTTACGCCTTCGACTGTTTAGCAAAGGATCACAAATTGAGTGTTTGTTCAGGGGCAGGTGCATTTATAGGAGAGGGGATAGATTTTACACACACCCATGTTGGTCACTAAAAGGCAATGTCTTCTAAGGCATGTCAGCAAAAGTTAAGATTAGAGAGGTATATCAATTCTTTTTCAGAATAATGGTTTCACTGTTGACTAGTACGATGTGATAGGGGAGGTTTTGGTGAAAAATCTGTGTTGAACACCCACAGTGTGTTTTGCTAGAGATCATGTTAGTAATACGAGCTGATTGATCCATTGTTACACAGATATTTTACAACGAGACCTTGCCAGCTATTACTACTGTTGCTAATGATTGTAAGTGCGTTTCACTGAAGCACATGCTCACCATCAGCTATTTTGCTTCAATGAAGAAGTGATTTTACTTCTTTGGAGGGAAATAATATCATTTTGTTTTGAGTCACTAATAGAGCAGAAAATGTTTTAGCACAGTGACAGTGATGCATTGTGACAAATCAAGTTTGAAATGGGTATTCTTAGTTATTCATTGTTTCCTGGAGCGCTATTATTAGCCAGTATTCCACAATCACAGAGTAGATGGGGTGAGCAAGATTAAAATTTTCAGTTCACTTCATTACACAGCACAAACGCTCTCTCTCCTCTCAAGCAATAAGGTATTTAGAAGTGTGTCAGGATTAGACTATTAGTAGTCATGACTTGAAAAGGGCAGAATAAATTATTAGTGGCAACTAATTTGTTACGTCTGTCACAAGTTGTAGAGAAAATCTATTGATGGCGATGGGATTGCTAGTGAAAGGTTGATAAAAATGTGATTAGGGAGGGGAAGATTTCCATAGTCTAGCTAACATACAGTCAGTTTTCGTACAGGTGTCATCTTTGAAAAGGTTAATGTAGATGATACACATTTTAACATTGACACAGCTCTATACCAATAGTGTATTAAGACACATCCACACCAAGGTAAAGTTTGAAAAGCAGAAGTAACTTTGAGGTATCTGAGTGTTGCTTCTTAATTCATTGATGCAGCTTGGTTCAGGGGACATTACACGTAACACTTTTCAATACTGAATCATAGGCTGTTCAGTATAATACAGTGTTGGTGGTAAGATGCGCACACCATAGTAAGTAAACAAGTAACTTTTGAGCTACTTGACGTAGCTTATTTTCTTGAGGTGGCTTTGTTCAGCAATAACAGTTTCTTGTGAGATGATATATGGTAGCTACACATTTGATAGGTACTGATGGTGTAATGTGAAAAATTGAATTTCATTCCAATATGTTGAACTGCTCGCTCAAGGTCGTAAAAATGTGTGGCATTTGTTCTAGTATGTCAAAAAGAGGAAGTAAAAGTAACTTTGGAGCTACCTTTGTTCAAGAAGTGATAAAACAGTTTGATGGTTGAATGCTTTTAGTAGCTACACATTTCCAGTTATTCAGAGCAATTTTCATTAAGTTGTTGCACGTTTTCCAACAGACTGGAATTGTCTAGGAACATGAAGCTCAATGCAATATTTCAATGGGAATCGTGTGGGAAAGGATTTTATTATTCTTCAGTTGAGATGTGGGGGAAAGTACTTTATTTTTCTTCAGTTAAGATTTGGCTAACATGCTAGGCACAAACACATGGAACTCAAAAAAGCTGGATTACAAAACATTAAATTACATATTTAACGATTAATATGAGGACAGTTGTTATATACCTTGAAGCTAACTAAACACAAAAGACAGCCAGTTATGTACACTGTTTGAAGAATAATTAGTATCGCCCCTGGGGGGACGATTTGCCCCAGAGGGACAAACTCCGGAGAGATGACTCAATATCAAAGGCAAGGGCTTTCATATCCATATTTTTCAATACACTGAGAAAGGTGGCCCATGTTACCGGCCATTTCCCTTTACCTTGCAACCACTGCTTCGAAATTTCTTGGTTGATTGCATGCGAATCTCTCATCCATGTTTCCTTCAGGGCATCCGTTACGGATCCATCATTATCATTTAGCAGGAATGGTCCAAAAACATTGTAGTGAACACCAATTCGTGTAAGAATGTTAATTTTACTACCATCTAGCATTGGAAAATCCATAAGTTTGTTGTAGAGTGGGAGTATCTCTTAACGGCTGCAGGTAAATGGACAAAGACAATGTCAATAAACTACGTTTTTAGTAGCACATGGGCCAAAATGTAAGACACTCTTTTGTACAGGTACAGTAATACAAGGAATGCGCACGCACATATTTTGCCTCGCGCCTGCCAGCCAATGTGTAAACAGTCCGACTGAGGCCGCTCGTGCGCGCGCTCTACTGACTGCGCGCGAAGCCAGACTTCCTACGAGTCTGCGCGCACGGCGGAAGCTAGACTTCCTACGAATGACGGAAGTTACACTTCCTTTTGGTGACTAATTGACATTCCTAAGCGTGACTAATTGCCGAACGTACGTACGTACGCATATCGCGAGAATACAACCCGGAGTAGTTGCCTCACGCTAACGCGCTCGGCAAAAATAGATCCAATTTACACACATAGAAATGCATTGCTTCAGTTGAAAACTCAAATTCCCGAACTGAGTGAGAACTATAAGTGGAGATGTATAATTATTTCTAGCACATTTAGTTTTATTTCCACTCTTAAATTACGAGCCATACTACAGTAGCTATAACATACACAGTAGACTAAAAACTTACACCAGCACTTTGTTGACTGCCTTGAATTAACTGGCCTTTAAATAGTCTGCAGTTATAAAATGACACGTCAACAGATGCTATTGGAAATGCTCGAGCTGTCTTTCACTTACTTCCTTGATAGCTCATCAAAGCCGGCATTATCTAACAGTTGAGCAAGTTCATAACGAGTACCACCTTCACCCTCAACAAAATCGGAGACGACAGCATATGCTGGCTCCCTGCTCCTCTTCGGGGCCCTTGCAACTTTTTTGAGTGTATATTGCATCTCCATTTCTTCAACAACATCGGATAAATCATTTTCTATCTCCTTGGCCACAAGCTTCATTTCAGTTTCAGTCAGAGAACTGTCCTCGACTGGAGACTGCATAGAGCGACACAATAATTAAATAAATCATAGTATAGATTAAATGAGCCACACTCACATGCACTGGAAGTTCACTTGGAAATGGTAGCCAGAGCCTTTGCTGAGGAGACAGTTCATACTTATGGTCAAGAGCACAAAACAGATCAGACTCGCAAGAAACACCAGGCTTCAATGCTACGAAGTGCCCGGGAGCACTATGTGAACATGTGCATGGAAATGCCAAGTTGAATGTAACATAGCAAAATGCATGACTCAGCAAATCTAGTATTGTGTCTATTTCGCTCTGCCACTCGAAAAAAACCTCAGAGATATGCTTTCCAGTGATTCAGACACAATTATTCGGTCAATATCTCTGCACTTAAACAGAATACTATTTCGATACACCTCTCTATCTAAAAGTGGTGTGTAACCTTCCTGGTTAGACATGTGTGCAACTAATCGGACAAAAAAACCAGGCGGGACATAACCTGTACTAAAACACATGTATAGAGTAGCTGCTTCGCGTACAGGCTTGAATTGTGGTGGCTCTGAATTTTCTGTAGATTCTGATTTAGGCTTTACTTTCAATACGCAAGGCATGAAATACTTTCTTCCTCTGCTAGACATCATGTCATATGGACATTCATTTATTTCGGTAGCAAGATCAAAATGCAGAAGAACGTCAACAAGAGCTTGTGCGCCCCCTACTAGCTCACAATCTTTCCATATTTCCTGATATAACCCTTCAACTACAACACCTCTTTCTTCAAACCACTTCCAAAACCGTTTCAGATGCTCAGATCGGTGACCAAACCAATCTGGCATGAGCAGAAGTCGCAACTGGTTAATAAGCCATTGTGGCTCAACTATTATTGTACTGGCAAGAGATGGTACGTTCGCATAGTGTAAAAGTGCACCTAACTGGTGGTAAAATTGAAGCACACTAGGTACAACCTCCGTAGGAATTTGGCATTGCTCGGCAATGAAAACAACTTCACTGTATAAAAGAATTGGCTTATCCTCGGCAACCTTTTGCAAAACCTGCCTGAAAGTAACCCAAGCCAGTGGAGTGTCTACCACAAGCGATTTTGCAAATTCACTGATATTTTCACGCATTTTTTTGTACCCAGGATCTTCTTCCTTACCCTTCCCAGCCTTAGTATTGTCAACAAGGAGCTTGTCAACTATAATTTCACTAAATGAAGCATAATTACAGGCAGACTGAAGTTGAGACTTTACACCCTCTTCTTCCTCTGCTGTTATTTGGTCTTTCCGTGAACCAACAAGCATGGCTCGAGGAAACTTTGGAATAATATTAGAGCTTGGACTGGCCTGAAGTAGCAAGTACTCATTCTTTTCAATAAGGGAAGAATGGATTAGTTGCAACCATTGTATCAATAGCTGCAAGTGTGTGATATTTTGCTCCCTTCCCGTAATTGGTTTACCATTGTGGTGCCATTTTTCTTGGTACATTTCCTCAAGATTAGAGGAAGCATCAAAAAGAAGAAGAAACATTGTGCGAGAGGTAAGAAATGCAGCAAGAATATCAAGAAACACAGGCTGCCCGCCACAGTCCCATATGTGCATTACAACATCTGGATTATGCTTGCTTTTGTGTTGTGCACTATGTTACTTTGCTTCTTTGATAATTGCACTACAGGCAGTGCTGGCTATTTCTGATACCTTCTCCCTATGCTCACAACTAACTTGTTTTCCACTAACTTGATGCTTTATAAAAGCAACCGCACCAGCAGCCAAACCAAAGATAACAACCGCGGGAGCCAAAGCCCAGTTAGTGATATAGGACCCTCCTCCTTCCTCTCCTCTCCTCTTATTCAGAGCAAGACTATGAGAATTAGCTGCTAAACTTGTGGCCTCATCAGAACTAGTATGCTCTTTCCAAGCCTCATCACAACTATCTGCTGCTTTGATCCAATGAAATGACACAGTGCGTGTGTCAGCTACAGCTGTGCTTTCCGCCATTCCTAATGGAACATTCATAAGGCCATTGAGTAAGCTGCTCTTCCCTGAACGCCCCCAGGAACATTAACCGCACATAAGCACCAGGAACAGCGCCTTTACTAAGAGCCTCAGTATAGTCATCTAGTAATACAAAGAGCCAGCATTTTCCCATAGATTTTAACAGAGTAAAGCCTGGTTCACAATTTACAATACGACGCTAGAATTCCATTTCATTTGTCAGCAAGCTGTGCTGTTCACAGAATCACAATAAGTAGCAAACGAAATGAAAGTCTAGCATCGTCTTGTGAACCAGACTTACCAAGTACAATAAAACAGAAACTGGCAAAATGCAGGCACAGCTTGTTCATTTGCAAAACAATATGAGGAATATTTCTGCAAATAATGATATCACATGATATGGTTCAATAATAAGAAAGTAAGCATCACATTTATTATAGCAATGGAAATTTGAAATGAAGTAAGATAATATCATAGGAAAAGAGGCGGTGCTTTGATTATTTTACATACATTACACTTACAAACGATGAACAGAATTTACTTCTTTTTTACCTTCCAGTCTCTGCAAATTAAAAATACAAAACTAAATCCGTAAAATAGGAACTATTTTCTTGTGTATTAGTGTGGCCTCTTGCCTAATGCCATGGTAATTGATGTTTTACAATAACTGGCATTGGCAACACTCACCGTTGCATACAAAGGAAAACACATGCTATAGATGATAATGTCAGGAGGAAACTCAGCAACACTAGTCTGCTTACAATTTACATTTTGTGAACACACAAAACATACCCTGCACTAAAATATGTTAGACCATGCGGCTAGGCCTGTCCCATCAATATGATGCTTTATGCGCATGCGAAATCATCGTGCACATCAACAATAACAACATGGATGCTTTTCATTGTGCAGGTAGTAGCTAACGGTCAAGGCATAATTTCAGGATGTGAAGAGAGACATATGTTAACACAAAGATGCAAAAAAAAGAGAACTTACAGGCTGTTGTTGTGCAGGTAGAGGTGTAATGGAGGAAGTAAAGAGAGACACATGAGTATTAGGTGTTCATGCCTAAAGCAAGAGAACTCACAAACTGTTGTTGTGCAGGTAGAGGTGTCACGGAGGAAGTAAAGAGAGACACATGAGCTTTAATTATTCATGCTTAAAACAAGAGAACTTACTCCCTGTTGTTGTATATGTAGTGGTGTCATAGAGCAAGTAAAGAGAGACACATTAAGTACTCATGCCTAAAACAAGAGAGCTTACAGGCTGTTGTTGTGCAGATAGAGGTGTAATGGAGGAAGTAAAGAGAGACACAAGAGCATTAAGTACCCATGCCTAAAACAGGAGAACTTACAGGCTGTTGTTGTGCAGGTAGAGGAGTAATGGAGGAAGTAAAGAGAGACACGTGAGCATTAAGTACTCATGCATAAAACAAGAGAACTTACATGCAGTTGCTGTGCAGGTAGAGGTGTTGTGGTGGAAGTAAAGAAAGACACGTGAGCATTAAGTACTCATGCCTAAAACAAGAGAACTTACAATCTGTTGTTGTGCAGGTAGAGGTGTCGTGGAGGAAGTACAGAGAGACACATGAGCTTTAATTTTTCATGCTTAAAACAAGAGAACTTACTCCCTGTTGTTGTGCAGGTAGAGGGGAAGTAAAGAGAGACATGTGAGCATTAAATACTCATGCCTAAAAGAAGAGAACTTACAGGCTGTTGTTGTGCAGGTAGAGGTGTAATGGAGGAAGTAAAGAGAGACACATGAGCATTAAGTTCTCATGCCTAAAACAAGGTAACTTACAATCTGTTGTGGTGAAGGTAGAGGTGTTGTGGAGGAAGTAAAGAGAGACACATGAGCATTAAGTACATACTCATGCATAAAACAAGAGAACTTACACGCAGTTGCTGTGCAGGTAGATAGAGGTGTCGTGGAGGAAGTAAAGAGAGATACGTGAGCATTAAGTACTCATACCTAAAACAAGAGAACTTACATGCTGTTGTTGTGCAGGTAGAGGTGTAATGGAGGAAGTAAAGAGAGACATATGAGCATTAAGTTCTCATGCCTAAAACAAGGTAACTTACAATCTGTTGTTGTGCAGGTAGAGGTGTCGTGGACGAAGTAAAGAGAGACACATGAGCATTAAGTACATACTCATGCGTAAAAGAAGAGAACTTACAATCTGTTGTTGTGCAGGTAGAGGTGTCATGGAGAAAGTAAAGAGAGATACATGAGCATTAAGTACTCATGCGTAAAACAAGAGAACTTACTCCTGTAGTTGTGCAGGTAGTGGTGTCGTGGAGGAAGTAAAGAGAGACACATGAGCATTAAGTACTCATACCTAAAACAAGAGAACTTACAGACTGTTGTTGTGCAGGTAGAGGTGTAATGGAGGAAGTAAAGAGAGACACGTGAGCATTAAGTACTCATACCTAAAACAAGAGAACTTACAGACTGTTGTTGTGCAGGTAGAGGTGTAATGGAGGAAGTAAAGAGAGACACGTGAGCATTAAACGTGTAGTCCGCGGATAAAATATCTGCTAAGCGCTTCTTGCGCGCTCACAGCTGGCGCAATTGCAGAGCGAGGCGGAGTCGCTTCCGTGCGCATGCATATAAATGGGGCGGTGCCTGGCACAAACATGGCGGCGGTAAAATTCAAAAACGTACCAGAAGGTAAGTGTATGGAGCCTTCGTTTGTACCGCTAGCGCAACGCTGGAACAACATAGCTGCGGTGCGTAACACGGATTGGTAATAAAATGTGCGCACGTGCATGACACGTGTATATAGTGAAGTGCGTGAAAGCTGGCTGTATGGCTCAGTCTTCCTCCTGTTCCTCAGGACTCTGCTGAGGGCTAGGGCCAGGCTAGTTCCTCAGGACTCTGCTGATGGAAAGAACAAGATAATTAATATCAGCTATGTCAAAGAGCTTCGCCATTAGTCGACCGGCTTCAATGGAGGTGTCTCCCGCAGGAGCGATAGCGGACTTTAGAGCGCTCCTTGAACGCTGCCATTGTGTCAGTGTTGCCAAAAGTTAGCTGGAGAGTCAAACGTGGGCCGCCGGCCCTCGGTTTCTTGGCCGCTGGAGGTTCAGACATTTTCATGTGCGAGTAGCACAAGAAGCGCTGTTCAGTGCATTCATGTGCAAGTAGGCATGAGCGCTGATTAGCATTGCGAGGCTTTTTATTAGGACAAACGCAGCGTGTTTTAGTGCGTGGAAACGGATGCGTGGTAGCCAGCGGCTCAGAAGTGAAGAGACAGTAGTTTGAACACCGCCATTTTATCACGGTGTGCGCTAAAGTTAATCAATTTTTGCCTGGCACGCCCCAATTTATACGCGGACTACAGTTAGTACTATGCCTAAAACACAGACTTACTTCCTGTTTTGTGAAGGTAGAGGTGTCGTGGAGGAAGTAAGAGAGACACGTGAGCATTAAGTCTCATGCCTAAAACAAGAGACTCACTTCCTGTGTTGTGAAGGTGAGTGTGGGAGAGAGAGTGACAGTAGTTAGACATAAGTACTCATGCCTAACAAGATAACTTACTTCCTGTGTTGTGCAGGTAAGGTCGTGGAGGACGTAAAGAGAGACACTAACATTAAGTACTCATGCCTAAAACAAGAGAACTTACTTCCTGTTGTTGTGCAGGTAGAGGTGTCGTGGAGGAAGTAAAGAGAGACACGTGAGCATTAAGTACTCATGCCTAAAACAAGAGAACTTACTTCCTGCTGTTGTGCAGGTAGAGGTGTCGTGGAGGAAGTAAAGAGAGACACGTGAGCATTAAGTACTCATGCCTAAAACAAGAGAACTTACTTCCTGTTGTTGTGAAGGTAGAGGTGTCGTGGAGGAAGTAAAGAGAGACACGTGAGCATTAAGTACTCATGCCTAAAACAAGAGAACTCACTTCCTGTTGTTGTGAAGGTAGAGGTGTCGTGGAGGAAGTAAAGAGAGACACGTGAGCAATAAGTACGTTAGCATTAAGTACTCATGCCTAAAACAAGAGAACTCACTTGCTATTTTTGTGCAGGTAGAGGTGTCGTAGAGGAAGTAAAGAGAGACACGTGAGCATTAAGTACTCATGCCTAAAACAAGAGAACTCACTTGCTGTTGTTGTGCAGGTAGAGGTGTCGTGGAGGAAGTAAAGAGAGACACGTGAGCATTAAGTACTCATGCATAAAACGAGAGAACTCACTTCCTGTTGTTGTGAAGGTAGAGGTGTCGTGGAGGAAGTAAAGAGAGACACGTGAGCATTAAGTACGTTAGCATTAAGTTCTCATGCCTAAAACAAGAGAACTTACTTCCTGCTGTTGTGCAGGTAGAGGTGAAATGGTGGAAGAAAAGACAGACATAGATATATGAGCATTAAGTACTCATTCCTAAACAAGAGAACTACACTGCTGTTGTTGTGCAGGTAGAGGTGTCATGGAGGAAGTAAAGAGAGACACGTGAGCATTAAGTACGTTAGCATTAAGTACTCATGCCTAAAACAAGAGAACTTACTTCCTGCTGTTGTGCAGGTAGAGGTGTCGTGGAGGAGGTAAAGAGAGACACGTGAGCATTAAGTACTCATGCCTAAACAGAGAACTCACTTCCTGTTGTTGTGAAGGTAGAGGTGTTGTGGAGGAAGTAAAGAGAGACACGTGAGCATTAAGTACTCATGCCTAAAACAAGAGAACTTACTTCCTGTGTTGTGCAGGTAGAGGTGTCGTGGAGGAAGTAAAGAGAGACACGTGAGCATTAACGTACTCATGCCTAAAACAAGAGAACTCACTTGCTGTTGTTGTGCAGATAGAGGTGTCGTGGAGGAAGTAAAAGAGACATGTGAACATTAGTCGTTAGCATTAAGTACTCATGCCTAAAACAAGAGAACTTACATCACTGTTGTTGTGCAGGTAGAGGAGTAATGGAGGATGTAAAGAGAGACACATTAGCATTAAGTACTCATGCCTAAAACAAGAGAACTCACTGCTGTTGTTGTGCAGGTAGAGGTGACATGGAGGAAGTAAAAGAGATTAGACATGTGAGCATTAAGTACTCATGCCTAAAACAAGAGAACTCACTTGCTGTTGTTGTGCAGGTAGAGGTGTCATGGAGGAAGTAAAGAGAGACACGTGAGCATTAAGTACTCATGCCTAAAACAAGAGAACTTACTTCCTGTGTTGTGCAGGTAGAGGTGTCGTGGAGGAAGTAAAGAGAGACACGTGAGCATTAAGTACTCATGCCTAAAACAAGAGAACTCACTTCCTGTTGTTGTGCAGATAGAGGTGTCGTGGAGGAAGTAAAGAGAGACACGTGAGCATTAAGTACTCATGCCTAAAACAAGAGAACTTACACGCTGTTGTTGTGCAGGTAGAGGTGTCGTGGAGGAAGTAAAGAGAGACACGTGAGCATTAAGTACTCATGCCTAAAATAAGAGAACTTACTTCCTGTTGTTGTGAAGGTAGAGGTGTCGTGGAGGAAGTAAAGAGAGACACGTGAGGATTAAGTACTCATGCCTAAAACAAGAGAACTCACTTCCTGTTGTTGTGAAGGTAGAGGTGTCGTGGAGGAAGTAAAGACAGACACGTGAGCATTAAGTATTCATGCCTAAAACATGAGAACTCACTTCCTGTTGTTGTGCAGGTAGAGGTGTCGTGGAGGAAGTAAAGAGAGGCACGTGAGCATTAAGTACTCATACCTAAAACAAGAGAACTTACTTCCTGTTGTTATGCAGATAGAGGTGTCGTGGAGGAAGTAAAGAGAGACACGTGAGCATTAAGTACTCATGCCTAAAACAAGAGAACTCACTTGCTGTTGTTGTGCAGATAGAGGTGTCGTGGAGGAAGTAAAAAGAGACAGTGACATTAAGTACGTTAGCATTAAGTACTCATGCCTAAAACAAGAGAACTTACTACTGTTGTTGTGCAGGTAGAGGAGTAAGTGGAGGATGTAAAGAGAGACACATTAGCATTAAGTACTCATGCCTAAAACAAGAGAACTCACTTCCTGTTGTTGTGCAGGTAGAGGTGAAAGTGGATGGAAGAAAAGATAGATATATATATATGAGCATTAAGTACTCATGCCTAAAACAAGAGAACTCACTTGCTGTTGTTGTGCAGGTAGAGGTGTCATGGAGGAAGTAAAGAGAGACACGTGAGCATTAAGTACGTTAGCATTAAGTACTCATGCCTAAAACAAGAGAACTTACTTCCTGCTGTTGTGCAGGTAGAGGTGTCGTGGAGGAGGTAAAGAGAGACACGTGAGCATTAAGTACTCATGCCTAAAACATGAGAACTCACTTCCTGTTGTTGTGAAGGTAGAGGTGTTGTGGAGGAAGTAAAGACAGACACGTGAGCATTAAGTACTCATGCCTAAAACAAGAGAACTTACTTCCTGCTGTTGTGCAGGTAGAGGTGTCGTGGAGGAAGTAAAGAGAGACACGTGAGCATTAACTACTCATGCCTAAAACAAGAGAACTCACTTGCTGTTGTTGTGCAGATAGAGGTGTCGTGGAGGAAATAAAAAGAGACATGTGAACATTAAGTACGTTAGCATTAAGTACTCATGCCTAAAACAAGAGAACTTACATACTGTTGTTGTGCAGGTAGAGGAGTAATGGAGGATGTAAAGAGAGACACATGAGCATTAAGTACTCATGCCTAAAACAAGAGAACTCACTTGCTGTTGTTGTGCAGGTAGAGGTGAAATGGTGGAAGAAAAGAGAGACATATATATATGAGCATTAAGTACTCATGCCTAAAACAAGAGAACTCACTTGCTGTTGTTGTGCAGGTAGAGGTGTCATGGAGGAAGTAAAGAGAGACACGTGAGCATTAAGTACTCATGCCTAAAACAAGAGAACTCACTTCCTGTTGTTGTGCAGGTAGAGGTGTCGTGGAGGAAGTAAAGAGAGACACGTGAGCATTAAGTACTCATGCCTAAAACAAGAGAACTTACACGCTGTTGTTGTGCAGGTAGAGGTGTCATGGAGGAAGTAAAGAGAGACACGTGAGCATTAAGTACGTTAGCATTAAGTACTCATGCCTAAAACAAGAGAACTTACTTCCTGCTGTTGTGCAGGTAGAGGTGTCGTGGAGGAGGTAAAGAGAGACACGTGAGCATTAAGT